CTTATTAAATGCTCCAGTTGTCCTCTCAGCAGACAGACCGTTTTATCTAGGCGTTGCATTATCAATATCCCTAATGCCCTGGCCTATTTAGTTCAGATCATTTCTAAGCAATTACATACAGTCAAGAATCAACCTAAACAATCATTTAGAGAGATCTCTTATATCACTAATATGATCTTTCATAGTTCATACAATGACTCCCCTCCAATAACTCCGCCCTCTGCAAACATTATCGATCTTCTTATTCAACCATTGATACACTCACCTAAGCTTAAACAATTATAATCCACATTCATTAGTGCTACAGCTTTAACATTTTACACTGATGGCTCCTTAATAGGACCCAGGACGGATAACTGTAAAATGGAATTCAGTTGGATATGCTTACACCTAAACAATGGTCCATTTACCTTCAAAACCTCACTCACAAATTGGCCTTCTTTCACGCATGCTGAAATGTATGCTCTCCTCACTACTCTCATAGTATCTCCAAACAACGCAGTAGTGGACGTTTACTTAGATAGCCAGATAATAATTCATGGCTTTAACAAATACGTGCTTTCCAACCATCTTTCTCTGAGAAAGCTTGAAAAAGTTCCCAATTATACGATTTGAAACATTATTTGATACATTACCGATCACCTCAACCTCCAAGTTTTACTTCACAAAATCAAAGCACATACTGGAAATTATTATAATGAAAGAGCGGATAGATTAGCTAAAGATGGATGCAATACACCTCCTCTATCTTTGCTACTTAATAATGTCTCCTCATCAGATCTCTCATTTTGCTTTAATAATATTCCTATTGAGGTCTCTATTAGAGGTTTTTTCAAGCAACTCTTTGCCGCACAAGCTTTCGGTGACTTTTTGGATTTAAACAGGAATGACAAACTCAGAGTACTCACAGTTAATAAATCTATAAATTGGTTTGCTATCTGAAACCTTTTCTCAATGAACACCCCTTTTCTCTTTACATCCTTTGCTTCATGTAAGCTCAAATCATTCATAATTAAAAACTTCATCGATGAACTTCCTTTACTATCACGTCTCACACTATTATGACTTGACTTATACAAATACTGGTCGTGTGTAGGCTGCAATGTTGCTACTAAAACTGCTTTCCATATTTGGATATGTCCATCGTACTCCTCAAAAATTATGGACATGATCTCAGCTACCAAACATGATCTTATTGACCAGCTAAGCTTTTCATACAGAGCCAGATACACAGCACACCAATCTGAACTAGAGGATATACTCAACAACACCTTAGCATCACCTTCAAATGCTTCTAATAGCTACATTAACATCATTCAATCCAGAATTTCGTCTTCCCTGATAAATATTATTTACAAAATAGTTGGCAATAAAGAGCAATGCCTCTCTATCATTTCACGCTCATTGCTCCTCTTTCACAAAAAGCTATACGACGACGTCTAGAAATACTATTGTAACTTAATAAACGCCAAAGAGCGTTCATTAGGCATCACTAAACAAGATAAGCATAAACAAAGTGCCAGTTCACCCATGCCTCACAGATAGACATCAAGCCCTTCTTTTAACTGAAAAATTTGGATACACCTTGCGAACAAATTTGGCTACGCGTTCTCAAATTTTTAGATAGGCACTGACATCTTCTTTATCTTTTTTTGCTGATGTTAATTTTCATTAAGTACGCATTTAGTAAAATTGATGGAGGGAAAAGATGATGATAGGTCAATTCAAATGGGTTTGTAATATAACTATGGGGGATAACTAGTACTTAGCATAAATTTACTTTCGATTTACTTTGTATTTCCTTATATATAAATTTAATAAAGTTACTGGCAGTGCCACATCATTAAAAAAAAATAAAATAAAATAAAATATGAAGAAATTGATAATAAATTATAAATAAAATATAAATATAAAAATATAATAAATTAAAAGAAAATAAAATTAATATATAAATTAGATAGATTCTTAAATAAATAAAAATTTATTTATAAAACAAATTATTTTAATAATAAATAATAAAAATACTTAAAAAAATATAAGCTTTAATTAAAGTAATTAAATTAATAAAATATTAATAATTTGTAAAATTTGAGTTTGATAATTATAATATATAAAGTATTATAAATCATTTAAATTAATTTATTAATTATAATATTAGATAGCCAGTACTTTACATAATATTAAATTTTTTTTCATTTATTTTTATATATTTAATAATACATTATATTTTAAAATAAAAATTATATATTTACTGATTCTACTTATCTTAATTTTGAAAGATGTATTATTTTATTTAGAGTATTTACTGTTTTAGCAAGTTTTATTTACAAATAACATATATTATAATAGAGTAAATATTTGAAAAATTTAAAATTTAAAAATTAATTTTAATTTAAAATAAATAAAAATCAAAGATATAAAAATTATTACTAAATTAAGTTCAAAAAATGTAAATAATTAAAAATTATAAATCAAATGAGATAAAATAAAATATTAAAATTTAATAGATATTATTTTTTAAATTTATAAAATATATTAAAAAAATTAGAAGCAAACTTCGTCTTTATTCTAATAAAGCCAAGAAAAAACAAATTAATCAAATTAGGAAAATTTGCTTATGATTACATAACTTCTTATACCACAAAAGAGTTAAAGCTTAAAAAGAAAATAAGACCATTATTACTTATTCTTAACAACAAAATTTTTTACCTAAACTAAAAAAAAACAACTCAAACTTAAAACTAATTAAAAATATATATAATTTGAAAAAGTAAATATATAAATATTTTATATTAGAAAGGTAAAAATTTTTTTTAAATTTGATTATTTTATTAAAAAAAATTATATTTAACTTATAAGATAAAAATTGTTTTTTTAATAATTTTTTTATTATTACAAAATATTTATAATATAGATAAAAATTATTTTTTAACCTGAAATGAAGTAAAGGACTATATATATTTATGTAAAATATTCTGATGTCTGCTAGCTTAAAAATTAAGTTAATGTTAATTAACTTTTGCAATATTTTTTTTAGTTAAGGTTGTTCTGAATTTAATAATGATCTCATTTCTTAATTTCATTTTATTATTATAAATAAATAAATAAATAATAATAATTAAACTTTTTTTAGTGAATTTATTATAAGTAGAAGTAATAAAATTAGATCAAAATAATGTTTAGATTTTCATAACTTATTTTATTCTTAAATTAATAGTAATAGTAATTTATTAAATTCATTTGAAAATAATAGATATAAGAAAATAATTTATTTATAATTATAATTATAATTTCAATAATAATTTTTTTTCATTTTTTATTTCTATTTTCTTACTTTATTAATTAAAAAAACTGATTATAAAAAATCTTTTAATATCATAGAAATTTTAGCATAATATTACATAATTTATTTAATAATTTTTTCATTTTACTAATATAATTTATTTTTTATAATTTATAAAATTTTAATTGTAATGAGTTATTATTATAATAAACTTATATTTTATATATGTAAGATTTCTTAATAAATATAATCTTATTTTTATATATTAAATTTTTGATTAAATTATATATATTATAAATAATACTTACACACTTATAGTTTAATATATTAAATTTTCTTGTTTTCTTATCATTAATTTTTTTATAAAGTCTAAAACTCAATCATAAAAAAGTAAACTATATAATTCATATTTACATTTTCATAAAATTTTTTTAAAAACAAAAAAAAAATTAATAGATAATATGTTTAAAAAACTTTTTTGTAAAGATATTTTTTTTATACTAATGAAGATCCTAATGCTAAACTTTAAGACTATTTTTATTTTAATATCTATAAAATATCTATTTTCAAATTTCCTTTATCTTATCTACAAACTTTGTATAAATTTTTCTCATTCAAACTAAATTTGTATAAATTCTGCTGATATTTTTCGTTTAAATAATTTTTTTTTCCCTTTATATTATTATCATAAACCATAAGCTAAAATAAAAAATTATAATTCTGAGTTGACACGTTCTCTGCTGCTAAATAAGCAATTCACCTTTTTTTATATATAACCATTTGGAAGTCGCCTTGCCAATTACTTCTTTCTTTTCATGAGTATAAATTGTTATAAGGCTAAACAATTTAACTTTACTTGGTTTCCTATGTTTCTTCCCGATTTAATGACTGCACTTGCACAGAATTTTGTTTTTATTAGTTTTATATAATTCCCAATTTGCAGCTAGTATATCAAGGAATTTATTGATATTAGAATGTGATCAGAGTTCAGTAGCATAACTTGAGTCCTCAAATTCACTCTCATCAATCGTTTCTTCAATTATTTCTTCATCAGTTAATCCATCATTGATAATTTCTTCACCATCCAGTTCTTTTTCTTCTTTCGCAGTTGATGGTACAGATGATTGAATATTTGACGTGTAATAATTAAGTTGTTGAATTGTTTGATGTCGATAGTAATATTTTTCGAAGTACTGTAATTACGATTTAGATTATCGTCACTCATATTCAAACTTACAAGGTAAAAATTAAAAAGATTCCTCTATTATATTTGATACTCAAGGAATTCTTTTTGATTTCGAAAAATAATAATTGCGATTTCATAATTTTTAACTGTTCGAATGATCAAAATAATAATAGTTTACCGGAAAAATTTTCTAATTTCAATATTGTTAGTCACATCAGCCACTTTTTTATTTTATTTTTACTTTATATCTAAATTAGTATTGGAACGTTAATAAAAAGTTTTGCGATTTGCCATTTTGTTAATTAGAAATTCGAGAAGCATATCAAATTTGGTTTGAGAAATTCCATACATGGTAAAATTTTATTCGCAAATTTTAACCTGCTAATCTGCGGAAAATTTGGTTTATCTGATTTTCATTATAATGAAAAAAGAAGAAAGTTTCATTTAATATATTGCTTCATTTGCTAAATCTTAATTAAAAAAAATAAAATTACAAAATATCTGGATTAAACAAATTAGATGGATTTGCATCCACGGATCGCATACTCTCTTTTTTTTAATATCATTTAAAAAATAAAGTTTTTGAATTTAAAAAGTCCTTTTTTTCTTTTGTTTTATTTAAACTTTTTTATAATTAAATATACTAAATATTCATTTGAAAGAGAATTATGTGATCTCATGTAAAACAAATTTAAAATTTAATATAATTTAATATATTAGAAGCATACCTTACATCCTCCACATGATTTCTAGTAATACTAGATTTTATTGGTTAGCATGAATTATTTTTAAACCAATTAATGAAAGAATTGTCTTTAGCTTTGGTCGCTATTACCATGCGCCTCTTTGAAAGATTGGCGCTTATTTGGCGGAGATTTACAAAATATAAGCTATATTTATCCATAAGTTCAAACATGTGATATCATGAGTTGAACTGCAAACGTGTCAAAAAACTGTTCGATTTATCATATAAAGATCAGTTTCAAAATTTTTTTTTTTTTTTTTTTATCTCAATTAAAAAATTCCTTTTACCCTCAAAAAACTCTTTTTTATTAAGAAAATAAAGTCATTAAAATGAAGGGAAAGAAGAAATCTGAAAAGAAAAAAGGTGACAAGAAACTTCCAACTGCTCAGCAAGAAAGTGCCCCAGTTGATAATTCAAGTACTTCTTCAGCTCCTCCAGTTGAACCTAAAAAAGCTATCCCTGAAAAAGCTAATCCTGAGCAGACTATCCCAGAACAAACTATTCCTGAACAAAATATCCCTAAACCACCAAAGAATGATAAGGTTTGTTATTCAGCATTAGGGTGGCTTGGCTTTGTTGACCTTAAATTAATAATATAATCATATTGAACTTAAATGAAAAAGTTTCGACATTAATTTTGATTTAAAATCTTTTTTCTTTTTTAGCAGCCCGATAGAAAGGGAAAGAAGACGAAAAAAGTATGTTTATTACTTGTAAATGATTAATTGTGGTAATCGAATTTCTTTAAATATTAATATTAAACACGTTTTTGCAGATAAAGAACCAACCAAAGAAAGCTAGTTTTTTCGGCGGTTTATTTTCAGTTAAAAGGTTTTTTATCTATTATATTCTCGCCGTCTTTTTCTGGTGTGATGGCAAAACTCTCGAGCAATGCAATTCATATGAGGAAGTCCTCTGTTTTAACGGGATTTCACAGTATATTTTAAATCATGATTATTTTCACAAATTTATCGAACCAAAAATCACCGTGATTAAACAAAATGTTGAGGTCTATGGAAAACATGCTTTGGATACCGCTTCTGTTCATGCCAAACCTTATGTCAACCCTATACTCGAGTCAGCTCAACCTCATTTACAAACTGCGAGTGAATTATCTGTTGAATATGTGTATATTCCAGTTGCAAAAGGATTAACTAAAACACGCGAGCTTTATAATGAGAACGCTAAAGATCATGTGAACAAATTTTATCATCAAGCAGTAAAATTTAGTGCTCCATATGTTAGTCAAGCTCAAGAGCATACTTCCTATGCTTATGATCAAGCTTTGAAGTACAACAAAAATAATGTTCAACCTTGGTACAATAAAAAGGTCCTTCCTTTTGTAATTGATGCTAAAGACAGACTTTTTTTGTTTTACAACACCAAAGTTGTACCCTTTACTTATCATACATTGGAGGTGATAGAAGAATTTTATCACGAAAAAACGGTTCCTTTTTATCATACTTATATCTCACCTTATACCTCATCAGTTTTGAAGTTGATTCAAAGTGAAGGTCAATCCAAGGTTATAACTGAGGAGGAAGTAAAAGCTAAGAAATCTAAAGAAGCTGCTGATAAAAAAGCAAAAGTTGAAGCTGAAAGGAAAGCAAAAGAAGAAGCTGTTAAAAGAGCAAAAGTTGAAGCAGAAAGGAAGGCTAAAGAAGAGGCTGATAAAAAAGCAAAGATTGAAGCCGAAAGGAAAGCTAAAGAAGAAGTTGATAAAAAAGCAAAGGTTGAAGCCGAAAAGAAAGCCAAAGAAGAAGCCGATAAAAAAGCAAAAGTTGAAGCCGAAAGGAAAGCCAAAGAAGAAGCCGATAAAAAAGCAAAGGCTGAAGCAGAAAGGAAAGCCAAAGAAGAAGCCGATAAAAAAGCAAAGGCTGAAGCAGAAAGAAAAGCTAAAGAAGAAGCCGATAAAAAAGCAAAATCCGAATCTGAAAGGAAAAAAAAGGAAGCAGCCGATAAGAAGGCTCAAGAGGAAGCTGCTGAGAAAGCAGCTATCGAAGCGGTTAATAAAGCTGTTCACAATGCTTATAATAGAGAATATGAAATTGTTGAGAAAAATCTTACTCAGACTCTTGATATTTACGAAAAGGAGGCCACGTCCGTCTCACAAGAACTCCTAAAGGTGGTTGAGGATAGAATCTTGACTTTAAGTAACGCTGGATCCGAACATCTTGCCAAACTTAAAAAATTCGTAGAACAAATTAAGAAGGATAATACAAAAGATGATAAAACTACAAAGTTTAACGAAATAAAAGATTCAGCAATAAAATCTATAAATGCGCTTAAAGAAAGCGGTAAAGAATTTATTGAAATATCAGAAAATTCATTTAATGACTTGGAAGAAATAAAATTTAATGAATTGAAAAAAAATGCTGATTTAATTATGATTGGTCAGGTTCATAATAGCAGAGAACGTATTAGCAAACTGGTTGATGATAAACGAGTAGATGAAAGATTAATATCTGAAATTAATATGGCATTTAGTAGTCTTATGGCGGAGTTTAATGAAAATAAGAATGAAGCTTCATTAAGAGTTCGGGAAATTTTTGCTAAAATTAGACAGAAGATAACTCTTTTGGAAACTACAAAGGATGATCTTATTAAAAATATTAAAGATTACGTTAAAATGGAAAAAGAAAATTTAAAGAGTGATGCTAACGAAGTAACAACCAAAGAGCATGGAACGGATAATAAAAAAGATTCAGATGTAAAATCAGATTCTAAGATAATCGTTCAAAATGACAATAAGAACGATGATCAAATACCAGTTCAAGTAGAGGAAAAATCTTCAGTTGAAGAAAAATCTTCAAATATTCCTCCGGTTACAATTCAGATATCGAATGATCCTGTTTTAGGAAAACTCAAGGCTCGACAGGATCTGGTGTTAAATAAATTAAAAGAGGGATATAAATTTTTTAAAGCTAATAAAGGTAATGAACCAGTTCAATCTTTAGATTACGAAGATGAAGATGAAGAAGATGATGATGATGATTATGATGAAGAAGAAGCTGGAGATAATGAATGCTCATCGGGGGATAAATAAATATTTAGATAGATAGAAATATATATATAAATAAAATAAATAACAGCAGGTCCGTTGTTTTGAATGTTTGAATTGAAAATATATATACAAATTACACCTTTTGGTGTAGTTTACTTTTTATTAATAAATTACTGTACTTTTTTTAGCCTTAGTGCTGTAAATATTTAAATTATTATTTTTTCGAATCTTTTGAATGTACTGTATTTTCTTAAATTTAGAGATAAGCTTTTGCCGATGGTTCGAATGATTTTACTTATATAGAAATTGTGAATATAAATTTTAATTTTGTGTCTAAATAACGTAAGTTTAGAAGCTTTCAAAGTTCTAACGGAGAAATTCGGACATTTGGTGAAGATCCGAAACGCACTTAAAATTAAAATCCCATGATAATTTTATTTGACATGTATTATCATGTATTATGTAATTAGTTGTAATGAAGATCAGATGTTGTGTGAAATTTCTAAATATGAATTTATTACAAAAACTTCACACGAGTGAATTAGAAAATCTGGGTTTTAATAAAAAAAAAAACGGTCGGAATTTGTCGGATGAAAATACATGGTCCATTCGCGAAGCGAAGATAACTTCAAATAAAACTGCAGTTCGGCGTAATTCGGATGATCCCTTGAAAAGTGTACAAACCTAAAAAAACCTTAAGTGGAAATAAGAGTTCATCGTTTATAAAAAGGATTCAAAAATTTATTCGAAAACCTCGTATTCCTTTCTCAAAACTACATAAAAATAAAATAAACATGAATAGTAACAGTAAGTGAAAATTTTTAAATCAAATTTGATTTGATAATTAATTTTTAATGATAATTTTATATATAGGTAGTCGAACTTTCATACTATCACGGATGTATAATAATGCTCGTAGAAGTTTTCACCGAGACACTTCTAATAATCAACCATTCGGTTTATTAACCATACCTACGACCGAATCGATATTGAATTCTACTAATTTACTTCCTACAAAATCATTGATCCGATCATCAGATGTCAAAAGAAATGTTGCTTCGCTGGGGAAAACACAAGGTGAGATTATTTGTATTGTGGATATTGTCGATCCTTTAAAATTCGTTTAATTTATAACGGTTTCACCGATTTCCTTTTTCTATCAGGGAGATTGGTTATACTTGGTATGTTAAAATTTTATAATCGTACATGTTGTTTTAACTTCTATATTAATTATTAACCAATGATTTGATTTAGGATCTGGATGGGCAGGCAAGTCGAAAATGAAAATCGACCGCATGTTATTGATTCGAAAAAAGTAAATTTCAATCAATTTAATTATTCTGTTACTTATAGGGTATAAATTGATCCAAGATTTAAATACTGAACATTATGAAACTATAGTTGTTTCTCCAAGGTAATTTTAATATTAAACAATGAAAGGTTGCAATTGATTATAAATAACTTGATAATTTTATCTTAAACTTTTTTTTATTTTTGCATGCTTTTAACTAGGAATTATTTCGTCTTGTAAGTTTATTATTATTGGCTCATATTTCAGGTATATAGTTTCTCATTCAAAATCTTATTCCCTTTGTATTTATAGCACGCCATTACTTGCGTCATCATCTGTGGGCACTTTAGAGTTCAGGTGCATAATGGAACCTATTAGGAAGTATTCTCCTAAAATCCAATATTACCAGGCTTATGCGGATACCATAAGTAAAGTTCAATTTTCAGTATTCCGTTTCATATGAACTGAATTATTTTTCATTAATCTTCCGGACTTTTAATTCTAGACCTCAAGGAAAAAATAATTCATTGTACCTCTAACCTTGAACGCAACAAAGACAAGTTCTCTCTTAATTATGACACTTTGGTTATATCTGTCGGTGCAAATTCTAATACCTTTGGTATTAAAGGAGTTGGAGAATATGCATTATTCTTAAAGGATGTTTCTGATGCTCGCAGAATACGTCAAAGGGTGATTGAATGTTTTGAACATGCAAGTCAACCAAATGTCACAAATCAAGAAGCGTTCGGATTGTTGCATTTTGCTGTCGTTGGTGGAGGTCCAACTGTAAGTGTTTTAGATGAATGATTTCATAAAGAGGTATTCATGAAAATATTTGACAACGTATTATATTAATCTTAACATTCCACGATTAAAGGGTATTGAATTCAGCGCTGAGCTGTAAGCTAAATTTTTTTTATGTTCGAGATAATTTTTTCTTTAAAAAAATTTGGTAATAATTTAAATATTTCATATTATGTTTATTTATATGAACAGTCACGATTTTATTACAGAAGACATGGCTCGTTTATATCCGGATTTGATGAATTTAGTCACAATGACTATATATGATGTAGCACCTCAGATTCTCGGTTCCTTTGATAAATCTCTCAGAGATTTTGCCACTAAAAAGTTTACAAGAAAAGGAATCCAGATCAGAACAGGACGTAGAGTTAAAGAAGTAAATGAACGTAAAATCGTTATTGAAGAAGATGGAGAAATACCCTACGGAATGTTAGTTTGGTCAACTGGTATATTTTTTGGTTAATCATGTAATAAGTTCAAAATTTGAAATCCTTAAATGATGTTTAAGTCAAATTCAATTAATCGGTGGGTAGGATTAACCGATAATCCACTGACACGATCTATGGGCGATCAAGTTATGAAAGATAAGTCAGCAAAAAGGTAATCTTTTTTAATCTTTTGTATTTATAAACATATTTATTTAAATTTCATATTCAAATTTAATTGACAATGAAATCATTTAATTTTTTTAATTGGTAGACTCTTGACCGATAATCTCCTAAGAGTTTTAGATAAAGAAACAGGTCAACCTATTGATAATGTGTAAGTTGAGAAATCAAGTACTCTTGAAATGTTATTCATAGTTTCATATTATTTTTTTTTCTTTTAACGCGTATTCTCTTTTAAGTTACGCTTTAGGTGATTGCGCGACAATCAAAGATAATGATCTCCCTTCTACAGCTCAAGTTGCTAACCAAAAGGCCGTGTATTTGAGAAAATGTACGCTAATGTTTGTGAATTACCCTTTTTGACATTTACAACTATATATTAATATCGTTTACCATCAAACTTCTTTTATAGCTCTAACTAAAATTGCTAATAGCGGTGGTTCGATAATAGGTATAAAACCTTTTAAATTCTTTAATCTCGGGAGTATGGCATATATTGGAAAGAAAGAAGGTAAATGATATGAATTAGATGATTCTTCAATAATTTCTTGGTATTAATCCTCACGTTTGATTAATTAGCTGTCGTTGATATGACACCTGTAAGTAATAAGGCTAAGGAAAGTGGCACATTAGCATGGATATTTTGGAGATCTGCATACTTTACCATGACGGTATCGTTACGAAATAAGATGTTAATGTGAGTATTATATAACAATGATAATGATAATGATCATTTTAAAATATAATATTTAGAATTTTAAAAATTAAAATTTTTTTTTTTTTTTTTTTTGGCACTTTTTCATAGCCCGATGTATTGGCTATTAACATGGTTGTTTGGAAGGGATATAAGTAGATTTTAAAAGGAATGTGTTTCAAAAAGGACAATTTATGTATGTGTAATATGAATTTTGAATATGTATACCATTTATATTTATTAGAGTTTTTTTTTTAGTCTAAAAAAAAAAATAATAATAAAAAAAAAATTAAAATTTTCTAAATCTAGTTCTTTATATATAAACAAAGGATTAATATGATTTATACTACGATCATTGTATAAATATCTTTTATTGTAATGAATAAGTTTAACCAATGAAATGTGCACAAAGACTAATTAGGAATCGGGATTATAAATATTAATTACAATGAAACGGTGATAAATTGTAATATCATTAAGGTTGCGACAGAAAAGATGGAAATGGAAATTTTGTAGGCGGAGGAAGTGGATGATTGGTTATTATCTTTTGAATTTTTGGAGGAATCGGAGGATTTAGTGGAACCATAAGGAGCATCTTTTTTGTTGCCCGGATTAGCAGCATCCTTTTCATCCTTTTCATCCTTTTCATCCTTTAAATGTTTTACGGTGGCCGGATTAGGAGCACCACCAGGATTAGCAGCTACGTTATTAAGTTTAATGCGCCTATCTTTTGTCATGGTGTTTCCACCTTCAAGATAAGACATCTGTAAAGTAAAGTGACCGGATTTAAAATCAAATTCCGCCGGCAACTTATTTGCAACTGTCCAAGTATAAACGGCGAAAGGAACTCCTTCTTGGGGAGCTTTAAGTGCTACTTTACTGGCAATATCAGTCAATTTAATTTTATTGTATTCATCAAATAACGTTAAAGAAACTTCTGCAGGAGGTATTGTTTTTGGATTTACAATAATATTTATAGGTAAACTTTCCCCGGCGGTGTAAGAAACATTCCAATATAAATAATAAAAGTCTAAAGAACCGGGTCCAGTATTTGGAGTTGTGGAATATGGAATAAATTTACTACCACTTTTAGGTGTCTTTACTTCGGCATTCTCCTTTGCAGCTTTGGCATTTTTTGCTGGAGCTTTTGCATTGTCTGGTTGCTTTACTGGTTGTTTTGCTTTATCTTTCGGGCCGCCGGCAGCTATAAATAATTTTAAAAAGAGTTATTTATTTATATATATATATGATCTAAAAATTTTTTCAATTCTGATAAAAAAAAAAAAGATCATTTACCTTCTTTTTGACTTTGAATACCAGTAGCACTTAACAAGACTAAAAAGAAAATTGTAAAGATTGTAAGGTGCGACTTCCTCATGGTCGGGTGGTTTTTTTTTTTTAAAAAAAAAAAAAAAGGTAGGTGAAAAGAATGTGAAAGGGAGAGGAAAAAAGGAAAGGAGAAAGAAATTAAAGAGTGAAAAGGAAATTAATAAGTTAAAAATGACAAATTGCCATTCTCTCTCATTTGGAGATTGTATTTATATTATTAGTGGATAACATGATTTGACGTCTCATTTGTCGAATATAGAATCCATGTGCATTCCCTGCATTTATTTATATTCCTTAATCGAGAAATCATTCGATTTAAACATCTCTTTATTCCTCAAATTGTTGGGTTACACGTAATTAATGGAACGGGTAATTTTTTCCAGACGTCGCAGTTACATGTCACGAATAACGTAAATCTTCATAATAGACGCGTGTTATTAATTTAATTAATTTATAAAATTAAATCGAAATAAAAAAGATTTTTTTACATTTTATTGTTCTAATTTTCTTTTATTTGGCCCTTTTGGCCTTCCCCGACCCCGTCCTCGAACTTTTGTCCTTTTCTCCACTTCTTTCACTTTTGTGTCTTGGATAACTTCATTGTTGCCTCGTTTGTGTTCTCTGCCTCTTCTTGTGACACGAGATCCTTTCTTATCTTCTTTAACAACATCATCTATTTCCTGTTTCATTTCTTCAGAATCAGAAGAATTAAACGAACTACCCAAATATGAAGACTCATCGGTGATAATATTACCAACAGATTCAATGCTGTTTATCTCGTCACTATCGTAAATCCCTTCAGCTCCATCACTTGATTCACTAACGCTTAATTCTCTTGTTCTTGTATAATCCAATGTATTATTGTCATCCAAACTAACATTACCTTCATTTGTTCCATGATCTAAAGCTGAACTTTGAGAAGAAAGCATATCATTCAATAATTGTGATGCCGTATTATTATCTAATTCATAATTATGTTGAGGTGGTGATTTCGGTGTTGATGAAGTCGAAGCACCTATTTCCAAGTTCGTTCTTAATCGTGTCTTATTACTATCGTCTAGTAAACTATCTAAATCCGAAACATTTTGTTCTGTTTGAGTTATCGTAACTGTAAATGGATATTTTTTCTTTAAGGAGACAAGACAACATTAATAAATTACTTTTTTCTAGTTGGAAATACGTGTATATTTTTATAATTGAATACGGTTTACCTGCATCAATGTTAAAGTATCTCCGTCGAATATTTCTATTTTGTTATTTTTTCGAATTGTCTTACTTCCTTTCATCATTGCATTGGATCCGAGCTACGAGTGTGTAATAGAAACATTTTTTTTAAAAATAATCCAAAAAAAAAAAATCATAATCTATTGTTAAATTACCGCGGTAACGTAAACTCGTCCATCCCTTATTTCAAATAAAGCTTGTTTAACCAAAAAAAAAAGAGAAAACGATTATATATTAATGCCTTAAATGTTATAAAGTAAGTATGTTGTATACCTTGCTTTCTACTTAAGGTGGCATTTTCAATGAAACCCGAAGACCTTCCAAGTTCTAGCGTGTCTGGTTCTGTAAACTCAAATGTTTTATCAATTGGGTCTGAAAAATGTAAAACTACATGAACTGGCATTGTTGATTCAACCACCTTTCCCAATTAATTTCGACGAATATATACAGTGGTGTGCAAAAAAAATGACAATTTTTACTGCGGTAGATCGTCATTATGTAACTAGCCCAATTTTGGT